GCACGATACGATACATGATATTCTGTTCACGATACAATATACATATTCACGATATAAAATACTAATAACATACACTGACATTTGTGGTTGTAAAGCAATAAAATGAAATAAATTTACGGTGTATGAATATTTTTATAAGGGACTGTACTGGGGCAACATATATAATGTGGAAATCATTTGTGTTTGCAGCTCTTCCCAGCTGCAATGCAAACCGTTTCGAAGAAGATTGTCCAGTCTCGCACCAACAGCACGCTGGTTGGAGTTTTCTCCATCATCCTCGTCTTCATCTCTGCCTTTGTTAATATGGTAAGAGTTGACAAAACAAAGATGTATATTTTTTTTTAAGGACGTGATTCTGAATCCGTTTCTGGATGATCGTCTCCAGTTCGCCTGCGACACCCAGAGCTTGACAGAATGCGTCGCCGAGAAGCTGAACACGTCTGCAGGCCTGGTGACGCCGTGTCTGATCCACAGCTTGAATGTGTCCATCGAAGGAGGTTTGGAGATCTGCCCCAGCCAAGGCCCCTCCTGCCCCTTTCCCGAGGTCAGTCCACCATCTTACACCACTTTCCTCTGGAGCGGCTTCCAAGAGAAGCAAACAGATTTTTCTGTGGCTCGTGGTTGCTGATGCGGGTCGCGGCTGTCTCCTGTCTGTTCCAGTATTTCAGCTACAGTGTGCTGCTGACGCTGCTGGCCTGCTCAGTGTTCCTGCAAATCAGCAGCATAGGGAAGCTGGCCCTCATGCTGCTCATCCAGCTCACCTTCCTGCTGCTCGTGGAGTGGCCACAAGTAGCACTATTTGACAACGCAGACCTCTTTGTCACCTCCAATGCCATGTGAGTGCAGCAGCGTGTTGTGGTAAAAGAAGCAGTTATGTCCTGTGATTTAACATTTTGGTTGTATAACTAAAACTGTCCAAAACTTGGCATCAAATCACCAAATGTTTGTTGTTCGCTCATTCTTTGATGGCATTCAACTATCGTATTTTCCGCACTATAATGCGCACAGGATTATAAGGCCCATAGAACAGACGCTACAGTAGAGGCTGGAGTTACATTATGCTACCACTAGATGGAGCTCCACTAAACGGAATGACAACAAACAGTCTGACTCCGGTCGGCGAGAAGAGCCATCCGCGTCTGGGCCGGGGCGTAGCAGGACGATGGTCACCTTTCTCTGTTCGCGCACATCATGTTGGTGGAGAACGTGGCGCTAAATGACCTGCAGACGACCTGATTCTAGACGGTTGGTAGGTAGATAGGTCAGTCAAACTTTATTAATAGATTACAAACCAGCATTCTGACAGCTATCCCAGCATGCACCGCGTGCTTCTTCTTCTACGGGCGAAAATGAAGTCGGCGGCTGCTTACCGTAGATGCTAGACCTGTTGTGGCTCAATATTGCTCCATATATAAGGCACACCGGATTATAAGGCGCACTGTCAGCTTTTGAGGAAATTGAAGGTTTTTAGGTGCGCCTTATAGTGCGGAAAATACAGTAATCTCTGTAGAGTTTGATACTTAAAAAACAATTTATGTAACTTTTATAAACAAGGTGTTTTATACATATTTGCTAAAACTGTCTTGATGTCATGACAAATAATCTGTGAAAAGATCAATCTCCTCCACCTCCTTCCAGTTCTGCTGTTGCCGTCTGAAAAAATGCACCAAAAACAACCAATCAGAGCCAGGAGGAGGGTCTTAGCGCTGTCAATCAACACATGTACTCGCTGATGAATGTGATAATGGTGGAGGATCAACTTATCTTTTCAGGAAAACCGTTTATCATCATCAGTGGCCATGCTAACTAGCCTTAGCATTCACAACAGGATATGCTAACAGCGCCATGCAGCATTGTGATTGCCAGCACTAAGACCCGCCTCCTGGCTCTGATTGGTTGTTTTCAGTTAGCATCGGCAGAAGACAGTGGAGCTCCAGTATTTGTCTCATATCATGCTGTCACGACATAGTAACAGTTCCAACAAATAAACAAATAAATAGTTTATATAAAAGTTTCATACCGCACTTTTAAGATCTGGATGTTTTTTTGTTGTTACAATACACATCATTTCCGAACTTTTTGTCATGTAAGCCTACCTATTAAGCAATAAACTAAGCATTAATAGCTGAATGAATCTTCTTATATCTTATTTGCTACATTAAAAAAGTGAAAAAGTGCTGCCTTCAGTTTTAAATGCTGGATCACTGTAGTTGAATCTTTCAGCATTGTTAAAACTGGTATTAAATATTCATATATTGAAATTACAATTAGTTCATCTTTGACTGTTTTTTAAATACTTTTGTGTTTTCACTGAGCTTCTTTTTTTTTCTCTTTTAGTGCTTTAAATGAAACCAGTTGGTAAGTTCTTTGTTTACATTTATGAGATAACTTTTATAATTTTTATATCTCCACCAGAATTAATAAATATAAAACATTAGCTTGTTTTTTTTCTAGTCATTAAATTACCTTAAATTATGTGAAGAAAGTGGAAAGTAAATGAAATTAGTGTCTTACTCTGTGATATTTCTTTTCAAATCAACCGTTTATCTCCTATTTTTTTCATTAGCATTTAAATATTTCAAATTTTCACATAAAGATAATATATATTAATTACAGTTTATGTGTCATAAGTAAATACTGATATGAGAAAATAGTAACTGTCTTTATTTCTATTCACAAAAATAATTTTTTGTTTGTAATTTCAGGTCCAGTTTCAATGAAACTACAGTTGAGTGGTACGTTGTTTCAATTGCTTTTATTAAAAATGTAATCATTCCTCCAAGTTTCTTTCATTCAGTCTGAGTTTCGGTCTCTTTGCAGCCCATACTCTGTGACCAAAGTGTCCCTGCGGGTCATGACCCCTGTGATCCTCACCGTCTTCGTCCTGGCGCTGTACCTGCACGCACAGCAGGTTGAATCCACGGCTCGCCTCGACTTCCTCTGGAAACTACAGGTACGGCCACCAGAGGGCGCTGTCGGGTCACGTTTATGCTTATCTGTCCCTCTGTGATTCCTGTGTGTGCAATACCAAAACATTATACTCGAGTAAGAGTAGTACCAATTAAACATACTTTTACTGAAGTAAAAGTAAAAAAGTATTTGTTAAAACAAAACATACATTTTTTAATATTTAAAAATTACCATCATCAGTATATAAAGTTATGAGGAAATTGTTGTATTATAAATACCAAAGTGACAATAATTCTTATGAATAATATAGTTACAAAATTGGAGAAAAGAAACATTTTCTTAATTTCTTTTACATTAAAATTAATTAAACTTTTTTGTTTATTATTCACCAAATGGTGCATGCAAAGATTACATTACAAACAAATAAATTAGATAAGAGAATGAATAACAACGACAAAAAAACCTAATAAAATAAACTAACAAAAAAAGGAGATTTAATTAAAATGGATACAATTAAGACAAAGATAAAACAGCATAACCAAGTGGTGTCACAACAAAAAATAATTAAAATGTTTGGGTTAGGATACTTTTCTTCTTTTAATCTTGGCAGTTATTTTCTGACTTGTTTCGATTAATCTAGTGTCACAGATATTTTGGGTAGAAGTGGGAAAAAGAGGAAGAAAACAACAGCAACAAAAAAAAAGAGAAATTAACAAAAACTGCAGATCTGTCAGGTGAATTTTTATATAAAACAAGCTTGTTCTTCATTCAGTGAAGTTACTCAAATGGGTAGAGTATCCAAAGATTTTACTCAAATAAGACTCATAATGCATAATGAAATTACTCAAGTAAAAGTAAAAAGTACAGCGCAATAAAAATAGCTACTAAGACTCTGGATTCCTGGTGAATAATTATGTCTCTGTTTTGGCATCCTGGTCCTTATCAAAGCTGTTTATTTCCTGCCAGGCCACCGAGGAGAAGGAAGAGATGGAGGAGCTGCAGGCCTATAACCGTCGCCTCCTTCACAACATCCTGCCGAAGGACGTGGCTGCTCACTTCTTGGCTCGAGAGCGGCGCAACGATGAGCTGTACTACCAGTCCTGTGAGTGCGTAGCCGTCATGTTCGCATCCATCAGCAATTTCTCTGAGTTCTACGTGGAGCTGGAGGCCAACAACGAGGGGGTGGAGTGTCTCCGGCTGCTCAACGAGATCATCGCCGACTTCGATGAGGTAAAACATTGTTTGTTTTTTTTATACAAAATTCAGACCGCAGTATTAAAGTGCAGCTTGGAGAAAATGAACATCTGTTTTTGTTAACGGCTCAGATCATCAGTGAAGAGAAGTACAGGCAGCTGGAGAAGATCAAAACCATTGGTTCCACCTACATGGCGGCCTCCGGTCTTAACGACTCTACTTACGACAAAGAGGGTCGTTCTCATATTACTGCGCTAGCAGACTATGCTATGAGACTGAGAGAGCAGATGAAGTATATCAACGAGCATTCCTTCAACAACTTCCAGATGAAGATAGGTACAGAGAGAAAATCATGGGGAAAATTGTGAGCCTGTTCTTCACAGTGCATGTTTTTACAAAGTTTGTGTTTGATTCACAGGTCTGAACATTGGGCCAGTGGTAGCAGGAGTCATTGGCGCCCGGAAGCCCCAGTATGATATTTGGGGAAACACAGTAAACGTGGCCAGTCGCATGGACAGCACAGGTGTACCTGACCGCATTCAGGTAACACATAACAATGGGAATTCAACTTGGAAGGACGAGTGGCATTTATTCAAATTTAAACAATACATGTAGATTAAAATGGTCTACATTAATTTTAGTTTTGATTTTTTTTTTCCTTTTCGACTTCTTTGATAGCCCTGAGTTCAGTTTGGGATATTTTTGTACAGGTTTTTTACACTACATTAGCACACGAAAGATTTTCCCTGTGCTATTTTGTAATAAATAGTGCTACTGTTTCTCAGTATTAATGTAGCTGTACTACGATATATTACAAAGTAGTAGTACAGCATCGTTGGTAAACTTAGTAAAGCACAAACTCAGCATCCAGGGATGGATGGTATTTACATGATTCCTGATGTTTCATTGCTATCTTTTATCATTTATTGTGGAAAACTTTTTATCTTAACAGGAAATTGATTTATCGTCGTCTCGATAAATTTCAATTGATAGTATTGACAGTATTATCCTAAATGACATTTTTACCATTTTCTCCACTGTTTGTTTGATGAAAGCATCAATAAATACCAGTGAATTAGAAAATAAGATTGAATGTTACAGTAAGTAAGAGGAATCTAGAAAGTAAGAGGAATCTAGAAAGTCTCCTTTAAATGGGGATGTTTGTATGTTTGGTGATATGAAGTCATAACCATACAGTTATCTATAAAACAACTAATAAATTGGGGGGTTTTTACCATACATTTTTATTGTTATTACAATAGTACCTCAGAATATTTCTCTAAAATCCTATCGATATTTTCTGACCTCCCCAGGTGACCACGGACCTCTACCAGGTGCTTGATAGCAAAGGATACGTGCTGGAGTGCCGCGGAGTCGTTAAGGTCAAAGGTAAAGGGGAAATGACGACCTACTTCCTAAACGACGGGCCGCCCAACAGCTAGCAGCCGTGGCAGCAGCGGACGCTGGGTCGGTACCCACTGCAAGGACACGGCACCACTGAGCGAGCACTCACAGCGCGAGCGAAACAGCTGAGAACTACAATCGCCATCACTTGAATCCCAAGCAAAGAGGAAAACGCGAACTTTTGGGACTCCGGAGAAGGGAAAGCGTTCTCGACGGGAGGAGAAAGCTCTTGTTTTGACAGCCATCTCGGCCGCGTACATGTTGGAGGACAACGTGTTTTTCTCATGTCTAGCCTCTCTCTCAGGCTTCTTGAAAGATGCAAAGTCTGTTTATTTAAAACAACGCCTTTTAGCCTGTGTGAAAAGAAAATTATCGCTGTACATAAGGCTACTTTTTATTTTATTTGTTGTTCTTTTGTTCGGTAAGTTTTATTTTATTTTTTATTTTTTTGTTTGTTTGTTTGACACAATTTATGAACAGGTACTTTTGTTCCCGCTTTAATTATTTATTTCAGTCTTGATGTTTTGTGCTAAAGGTCCTTTATAAAAAAAAGTGTGAACACATACGTGCACAAATATCCAGTTTATTACACGTTTATAAGTGTGTATGTACATGCATATTTGTGTGTGTATGACTATATGTATAAACTGAGGAGGAATATATTGACCAAAGACTAAAGTATTTACTAAAAGCAAGGCAGATATTGTGATATGTTTTCGCTGAAGTCAGCAATGATCACCACCTTTGTTTTTGTTTTTTTGTTTTTGTTTTTCTTTCGCCCGACTTCTGGCAGTGAAGGCTCATTTTCATAAAATACAGAGTTTATTTATTTTGTCTGTCATTTAGGCAGCAGAGAACAGATTTTTAACTCTAAATAATAAAATTACCCTCAATCATTTTAACAGATGAAATTAAAAGTGACTAAAGATGACTAGATATGCTACGAGAGGGGTTACATATTTTTATCTGAGCAAAACAAAGATCGAGCTCAGATTGGGACTCTCCACTGGGTTGGGCTCCTTTTTGTCTCTGTTCCTTTTCTTTTTTCTTTTTTTTTTGGGGTGGAAATGAAGGAGCATAAATCAGTGAGCTGTTCCAGAACCTCCAGGTAGGGAGGGGCAGAAACTACGGATTTCAACGCAGTTGCGTCATGCAGCTTGATTCTTCTATGAAGAAGAAGTAGACGAAGGAAAGAAATATCCGCTGATTTCGACTGAATACTGTGCTTTGTAATCCTGAAGGGGCATAACTATTTTCACTGTGAGGTTTTTATGATACAACAAAACTGCTTTCTTGCCAAACATAACTGCTTTGAGCATGTCTTACTGTGGATTCTTTTTCTTTTCTTTTTTTTTATTTTTACTTTCCGTTTGTTTTGACGTAGGGTATTTTGTATAAATTCTGTACCCATCATTTGTATATTCTTAGTGTTATTATTATGATGATTCTGGTTAGTTATTATGCTTAACATGATGATTCCATTTCCGATGAAGAACAGCACGCTTTCTTGTAAAATTCAAAGGTCACTGGTACCAACGGATCAACTGCCGAGTTCTGCTGCTCGCGAGACGGGATCGGAGTCAGAACCACTGGCCCAGATAGGAGAGAAAATTACACATGAGTCACTGTGTGTTTTATTTAATCCACTCCAGTCAGGCTCTAACAGGCCCGTTTTTTTTTATTTCAGCGGTAAAAGAAACATAAATCATCACTGGTGTTGCTCTGAATGGACAGTTTGCGCAGGACAGGCAGGTTGACAATTTTATCCGTATTAATATGACAAACCTTTACTGTATGATAATATGGAATCACTACTCACTGTTTTTATCAAAAATAAACAAATCAGGCTTTATTTTTAATAAGAAAATCACAGAGATGACCAATTAACAATTGAAGATTTCGGTCGTGTAAAGCATCTGTCCAAAAATAATAATAAAAAAATAAATAAATAAATAAGTGATGTAATTAATGGCATAATTGTTTTTCAGATCTGATTCAAGAAAAAACAAACAAACATGTAATTACTCAGAGTTGAAGAAACAAATATGGAGTCATGAACTAAAAACTCATGATGACTGTTGTAGTAAAATATGCAACAGTCATTAAAATTAGCGGTTCATCTGTTCATTTACACAAAATATAGATATTTATGGAATCATGAAGCAAGACCAAAACAATTAGTACTTTGGCTCCTCAGTTGATTTGCCTTTGCTGAAGAATTATGTGGCAATCTGCATTATTATCCACATTTTATCCTCGACAGTCTTCCCCCATTTGACATGAAAAAAAATAATTAATATTGTAATTTAATATTCTGAGGGTTTTTTTACAGAGCTATTATTCTCTGTATTTTTCTTTATTTCTCTCAATGTGAAACAATTGACCTTCTACATGCATCTATAAATGGTTTTAGACGAGCATGATAACCTTCAGCAACGATTTCACAATGTAACATTTTCATAAAAACTGAGAATAGAAATACAAAAATATTACTGCTACTTAAATAATATATTGATTATTACAGTTATAATAATGTTACCCAGAACATTATATGTTTTTTTTTTGTTGTTGTTGTTTTGACACATTTGATGCATAAACGTAAGTAAAAAAATATGCAATAAACGCCTGCAAAATTTAGCTGTAGTTTTCAATGCTTATTGAGCAGAATGCTATTCATTTGATTGTTTTTGCTCTTTATGGAGAACCACAAAAACAACTAAATGATATTAGCTGGTTAGTTATTCTATTGTCCAGCTGCTTTACAGACACTTTTAGCTTGCTGGTTGTACTTTGTGTGCAGAGTTGCCTTAATGAGGGCAAAACGTGGCGCATGTTTAGTTTCCACATCAGCATCGTCGATGTTTTTTATGACCAGAAATATTTCCAAACTGCCAAATTTGTCTTGCATTATTGAGGAGCAAGAGGTGGGAGAGCAACACCAGTGCTACTCAATTGTTTAAAGTTTGAGCGGAAGCTGTAACTTTTTAAAAACGTGTCTGCTTACCCTGCCTGGTCCGCTGACATGAGTCAAAAATGAAGAAGGGCTTTTTGAGAGTTATTTTAGCCAACCGTTTCACCGCCAACGCAGCGTCCTCGTTGTCTCCAGCAGCAAACAGTTGATCTCGTTTGTACCAAAGCCAGCTCAAGCAGTCTTGTGCTACTGGTCTCTCCTGTGCAACGGAGGCCTGGGTGTGTTGGAGACGCAACCGAGATCACCAACTCTCACACAAACTGTGACCAATGACGAGCCTAAAGCGGAGAGTTTATAGAATGGACATGAGTTCATAAAGATGTTCATTGTATTTATTCTATTTCTACTAGCTGTCCATGGACTTGTGTTGATTGTTAACTCTTGGGATGCTTTCAGGGGAAACGGGAGCCGGGAGGAATGTGTTCCCCATACTACTGAAACAGTGTTTTTGCTCAGGCCCGATGAATCCTTCTGGTTTGTTTTCTTCTTCTTTTTTTTTGTTCGTATTTTACCTGAGTTGGAGGAGTTGAAGGGGGAGTGTTTTGCTCAGTTGAAAAGAAGAGTTGAAGACTATGACAAAGAGAAAAATAACATTTCCCCTTGAAGAAAAAAATAAAATGTAAAAAAAGTACATTTTTTTCTCCGTTAGTGTTTTTTAACATATTGATTGCTGTACATAAAATTTCTAGTTCCAATTTTTTTTATTTCTACAACTAAAAACTACAAAATAAGTTTGCATTATAATTAAAAAAGTTTTGTCCAATAGTTATTAAACACTTTAGAAAAAGTAAGTAAATTCACTAAGTGAAAATATATCTAAACTCAATTATGAAATATTAAAAATCTGTTTATTAAAATAAAAAAGTGCTTTCCTTAAGTTTACTTCATCATAGAAACTTCGATTAAGCTGCATCATTTATGTTAGAAACATTACGAGGAATCAAGTGTAGCTGCAATGATTCAAACTCTTCTGGCTTCCCTGAGAAATACAATATTTCCTTTATTGTGTATATAATTTTTATTAAAAAAGCACTTTGTTACAATATTTAATATAACTCCCATTTTTCCATTTTATGCAGGTTTAGCCCATTTCCACCACTTTGCAAAAAAATAAAAATAAATAAATTATCTCAGTATTTTGAGATACTATCTCATTAGAATGAGATAATTTCTTTATTTTTTAACAGAGTGGCAGAAACGGGCATCCAAAGTTTTGCACAAAACCACGATTTTATTTTTTATTTTTCTTGTAATTAACCCGACTTTCCTCTAGGGGTCACTAGTGCCACTAAAGCCTACAGAGAATCGGTGTTAAAACATCAAGAATATATACAAAAAAATACACTGATCAGTCATAACATTATGACCACCTCATCAGGGAATACTGTTTCCATATTGAAAGGTCTACAATTTTTTTAGCAGTGTAAGCTGTAATATGTCAGATCAGACCACAAAATCCATAATTTTGTTCCCTATTTGAAACAATGCTGTCGATTCACCGCCGTTCCTTTCTCGGATCACATTGAGTAGGACTGAAGCTTTGGAGATGCTTTCACCTCCGTCTAGCATTCATAATTTTTCTGAATTTTCAGTTGATAAATACTTTATTAATCCCAACGCAAAAGAAAACATAATTGCTCATGTTATCTGAATTTCTTGAGCTCTTTATACAGCTCAACTTTTTAGAATATTGTCACCAGCATGTACATTTTGTATTTATTAGAGATTTAACAGAGTACTGTTGTAGCACGTCTTATAGTACACAATTAAAATAGTGTACAATATTCATTCGTTTGAGCAATTATTTGTTAAATATATGTATTTAAGGCCACATTTTGTACTTTTGATTTGTACTTTTGATTATCTCAATGAGGTAAACCCAGTTAAACAAAGGTTACATGCACACATACAAACACCTAAATATAAAAAGAGAAAACCCATAGGAACAACAAAGCAATTAAATTTGATTCATTAAAATAAGGTTGAAGAGTCAAAAAGTTGCAGGCTTTTTGTTGTTTTTTTTAGCGTGTGCATGCTTCTGCTTCATGAAGCTGAGGGAGCTCAGAACAGGCAGAAGTCTCGGTGTGTCAAGATCATTGTACCAACGAACCTGGGAAAACAACAGATGGATTATACCGACAGAGGCCCAGACTGGTGGAAAAATGTATTTATGTGTTATGATACTCACCTTGTCATCTCGCTGGATTTTCGAGGAAACTTTTGGCACTGGGTCCACGGTTCAAAGCTCATGTGTCTCATCCATCCATACTGCTGGTTTTCTGTCAGAGGCTTTACATACAGCTGGTTGGGGACTGGAGGACAGAAGAGGCTTTTAGTTTTTGTTACAAACTTCTACAGGAACCCATATTTTAAAGTGTGCTAGCTTACGCCTGGGTGGTTGAGCCTTTTTCACCATTTCTGCGTATCGCTCATGACTCCCTTTATGATCCTCATCGCTGTAGCAAGGAGGCTGCAGTCGTACTTTGGTCACTTCTTTATTTATGACGGGTCCTTGTTCTTTAGCCAATGACTGAAATTCTTTCCTGACATTAAAACAGTCATCTAAAAGCAGATATGTTTCAACAGATGAAGCCAATCATTACAGTGACTTAGCTCTTAAGCTTTTTTTCCCTTAAAAATCATTTAAAAGTGTTTTTACGTACTACAAGGACAATTTGCTGAACTCAGATTTTTATGTTCTACTCAATCAGTATA